AGTACACACTGAAGCTGCCGTGGGAGGGAAATGAAGAATGAGTGGGTTTAAGAGTTGGGCTTAATTGGGTGTAGTTGGTATGATAGATTTACTGAGGAATACTTCAATTTCCTAGTTGTTGGATTGAGAGTAGTACCATAGTAGATGCAGAGAAGGGAGTGCCCAAATTCTGGAAAATATGAATGAGAGGACATCCAGGTACAGAGCCTGGAAATAAAGATAAACAAGTAGACTGAAGCTGTGGGAGTAGATTAAATCGCTGAGAGGAAAAAGCTGATACAGCAAACGCAGTACTGTGATAGGTAATCTCTGTTAGAAAATGTCACTTTAATCTCATAGGGTTACTGAAACTGTATGTATCTTTGCATGTCATTTGAGGTTTTATGATAAATGTCATATAAAAATATAAACATTTACAATTACAGTAATTTATGATTAAACTAGGTGGTTAAATTTTCCACTTTGTTTCAAACACTGGGCACAAGTGGTGAGCCTAACAGACATTTTAGATTGGGATATTAAAAAGCCTTTAAGATAGCATTCAGACTGGCATTGGACACGCTGTTGGGCCTGTCACCACCAGTACTCACAGCATGCCGGGCTCCTAAAACACAAATATGGCCTGCAGTCAGCTAGAGTCTTGATTTCACAACAATTTTGATTTACAGGTTGGGACAAGATTTTTGAGGTTTAGGTTTAAAAAACTAATAAATTGTTCCTTTGCTTGATGAACAGCTATGGTGTCTCATTTCGGCCGATGTTTGAACACCAGATCTCCAAAATCCAATCTTACAGGGATGTTTGTTTATATTTCAAGTGTAGCCTTCTATTTAAAGCAATTTTTGTCAGTATATTTTGTCATAAACTTAAAGTTAATACAAAAGTAAAAGTATTAGCATAACCCAAGTCAAGTGTGATTGATGTAGGGTTACTCTCTATTTTTTAATTATTCTGTGTATCTTCAATATGTGTGGCTAAGTAGGAAACATTTTCACAAAATATTCTAAATATTTCTCACAAAATCAGTGAAAAAGTGTGTTAAATCTATTACTTTAACAACAGTGGATTTGAAACACCAAGTCCAGTGGGGACTTCTCCGCCCTGACCTTACTTAATTCTCTGTGCATTTGACTTTATTTTGTGGTCTCCAAAATATTCTACCCTGGTTCTTGTCTGTCTTATCATTCCTCCCCTCGCCTCTTCCTCAACCTTGTATCTAAATGTTGGTATCATTGAGGTCTGTCCTCAAGTCTCTTTTTCTCTTAGTTTGGTGTACCTTCCTCTAGGAAATGTCATTGTTATCCTAAGCTACAAACTCCAGTTATTTGCGCCCTCTTCTCACTCAATGTTTTCGTCTCCCTTACTTCCTATACCTAGTCAGTCAGCAAGTCAGTTCAGTTCAGTGAACATTTGAGTCTGGCTATGTACCGGACTTTGCAATAGGCACAAATGCAATGTTTAAGTATCTCAAGCCAGGCCTTACTTACTATTCTTACATCGTTTCCGTTGGTCAGCTCCAGTCATTTCTTTTCTGAATACTCCTAAGCAGTAGACGTTAATCGAGAGTCCACTCTGTGTCAAGTACTATGCTGAGCACTGGGGATACAAAAATACTTGTTTACGTAGTAATAAGAGCAACAGACAAATATAAGCTTATAGGTTACATAACACTTGACTTAGGAAATTTGATCTCATGCTAAATATTCCATAGTGTGCGCAATAATACATTAGAGCTGTGGACAAGTGTCCATTGTGTAAAGAAACAGTCTCTTCTAGTGCAGGGTTGAATACTGCTGAAAGCCAGCACAAGATAGGCAGCAACACCACGTGGAAGAATACCTTTAAGCTCCTTTCTCATACTGTTACTGTTACTTCTCTCTGTGTCATGTCAGCTTGTATTGCTTCAGTGTTTGTGTTCCTCTCTTCTCCCCAGTGTTTTGTAATCATTACTGGAGAGCTACCAAGAGTGCAAGACTGGATTTCATTTTCAATTTATGGGAAATGCTATCTGCACAGAATATTCCTTAATGGAATGGTTGTATAAGACATTTACATTAAATGCGTAAGATACAGATGTATATGGAGAGGTATCCTTTGTGAGTAGGCCAGGGAGGACTTTAAACAGTGTTCTAGGGGCCGGCCCCGTGGCCGAGTGGTTAAGTTCACGCTCTTCGCTTCGGTGGCCCAGGGTTTCGCCTGTTCAAGTCCTGGGCGCGGACGTGGCACTGCTCAGCAAGCTATGTTGAGGCGGCATCCCACATGCCACAACTGGAAGGACCCACAACTAAAAATACACAACTATGTATCGGGGGCCTTTGGGAGAAAGAGGAAAAATAAACTCTTTAAAAAAAAAAACTGATCTAATTAAGCAGGACTTTGTAGCTGGTGAGACAGAACAAGAGATTCTGGGGAGTAACGTGTGAAAGCACCACAGTACTTATTGGTAACTAAGTAATCTGTTCACTCTGGAGTATAATGGACAAGGAAGGCTTTAGCTGGAGGAAATGAGGCCAGAGGAGTAGTTAGGGGCTGTAGAAAGATCAAGAAGGATTTTGTTTGCTAGGCTAGACAAAGTGGACTGTGTGGAGCTACTGAAAGGTTTGAATCAGAGGAATGACATGGATTTATATTTTAGAAAGAACTGCTGGCATCATTGATGTCTGCCCTGTGTTCCATCCTCTCCATCACCAGAGTCAGCTTAGTAAAACACAACACTGGTCATGTAAACCCGAGCTAGAAGCTTAAGATGACTCTTAGATACGAAAGTCCGACTTTACACTGTTTCTGGGAGGAAACTTGCTGTTTCCTCCGGCTTGAACATTTTTTCATCAGACACCCACATGGCTCACTCCTGCATCGTATTCATGTCTCTGCTGAAACATCACATCAGAGAGACCTCTGCAGGCTATCAAAACCAGCAGCCTCGTCACTCCTTAGTTTCTTATCTTGCTTTATTTTTCTTCTTAACACTTACCAGCCTGAAAAGGTATCTGTTTGTTTATTTATTGATTGCTTTCTTTCTTTATGTATCCTCCCGCTGGAATATAAGCTTCCTAAGAACAGGAGCCTTTAGTGTGTTTTCTTCAGTGCTAAGTGTTCTGTGCTTGGCACCTGGCCGGTGCTCAAGATTTGTTAAGACAGTGTGGCCCCAACCAGCTTCCCCCTTCTCCTGTCTCTTGCCACATGTGCCTCACGCTTCACACAGGGGACTTCCCACAGTTCCCCATTCCTTCGTCATGCCTCCTCCTGAAATCCTGTTCATCTTTCAGGACCCATCTCAGATATCACCTTTTGTCTAAAAATCTTTTTTCAAGCAGTTGCTCGCTGTACTTAGCTCTCATAACCCTTTTTGAATATTTAGGAGGAGTGTTTTCTTGGACTGCCCAGGACATGATAGGGGCAAATAACTATTTGTGTTAACAAGTGGTTAATCAGTGGAGAATTATTCAATGAGGGAGCCTTGCATTATAGGTAAAAGGTGAAATTCAGTTGATTAATTGTAGAAATGTAGTCATTAGGAGTAACTTGAATTTGATTGTAAATGGAATATGATTAGGGGAAGATAGCTGGAGGAACAGTCACCAATGTCTGTTACGTGTGCAGGTATGCCAACAGTCTGGAGAAAGTGTCTACTGACTTATTTTGTATATATGCTACTTTACCAATTTATTACCCCTACTTTTTGCAGAAATAACGTGAACTGTAATAAAAAAAATAGAAATAGACAACTTCTGAAGAAATGACTTGGTAGGGACAGCGTAAAAATCATGCTAAAATTTCATATTTGCTTTTTATCATCTTTTTGCATAAAGTATTACCTTTCCACATATAACGTTGGAAACGTAAATTATCTAGAAATGTTTTGCTAGAGTCAAATTAATATCACCGTGCTCAAGCCAATTTCTGCTTGTTAAGATACTGTAATTTACAGTGTCAAAAATGTCTTTGTCTTCTCAATAAAACTGGGGAAAAAAATGTCTTCATCATAAGAATACTCCAGATAATTCTTTATTTTTATGGCAAAAGAAAAGTTGCAGAGGCATGATCTAAAAATTACTTCGTTTTTTTTTAATATCTTTATTTATATTTCAGCATGGGTGTCTGAAGAGCTGTAATTTTACTTTAAATAATAAGTTCTGCTCTGAAATCCTGGCTACTGCCTTTATGCGAAGTCCAGTTGCTCACTTCTGAACTCAAGTTCTGTTCCTAACCATAAATATCTTTTCTCCCAGATGAAAGTCATGCTAAATGTTGGAGTTTCACTGAATTTTCTGAAACAAACAACTGTGAAAGCTAATAGTCAAGTAGAATTACTGACTAGTCATAAAAGCAAAATTTGCCAGGAATCACTAGTTAACCTCTAGTCAGTCAACAAGTGTAAAGAACTAAAGTCAAATTTTTTCTTCTTTAATATTGGAGGACCTCACTGGCTGGTGGGAGGATCATCTGGAGGTGCCAGAAGGGCTTTGAGAAGTCGTCACTGACAGGTTGAAAGTTAAATATAGGAAGCTGGGGATGATGGAGATAAGCTTTTTATTTAGAGTCGCTCTTATTTATCTGTAACATAAATGATTCCAAGATGCTTCTTGTGTGAAGACAGCAAAGGAAGCATAATTGTCACATAATTTATTGCAGATTTCGTTTTTTTCTTCCCCTAACAATGGCTGTGTTTGAGGGGGAAAAAAAGAGTCCTGGTAGACTTTTAATTGGGAGTCACTACACCACAAATGGATGAAGTAAATGAAGTATGAAGTCTATACGACGTGCACTGCATTTTCCCATGATGACTTCCTAAGCTTTTAATAAAACATTTTAAAGAATTTTATGCATTCCCTTGTTTTTCTTAAGATATAAACCAAGCATTTTGAAGGGATTTATGTAAACTTCAAGTAGATTTTAGATGTTTGTTTTATTAGAGAAATATTTGAGATGTTGTAATGCAATAGAAATTTTTGCTTTATATATTTTAAAGTATTTCCTGGTGTTTTTTTGTTTTTCAGCGTCAAGCCAGTCCCAGCTGAAGGAATCAAGTCCAATCCTTCTAAGCGGCATAGAGACCGACTTAACACGGAGTTGGACCGTTTGGCCAGCCTTCTGCCTTTTCCACAAGATGTTATTAATAAGCTGGACAAACTTTCAGTTCTTAGGCTCAGTGTCAGTTACCTAAGAGCCAAGAGCTTCTTTGATGGTAAGACAGAAGGGTTTAATTTTTCCGTAATCGCCTACAAAATACTTAGGTTGAATATGGCTGTTTCTGCTTCTGTGTTGAAAACTGCAAAAATCAGCCATATGTGAAAAAGTTTTTTTTATTGCTGTGTGGTAAAACTTAAGTGGCAAAGCCAAAGTTTTAATATTTCCAAAAATCAGTTTTCCACAGTCATTCATCAAACAGCTGCTGCCGCTTTAATGGTATGTGGTGTCATTCTTTGAAAGTCTTCTGTTTGGAAGTTATGCTCAGAGTAAGTATGTCAGTTTCCAGTTCCATTTCTTCAAATTCAGTTTTTTAAAGTCTCTCTTTTTATGGAAAGAATAAACCACATTAACTGCTATGATATTTTTTACTGGGTTTCCATCAATATGTTTTTATAGATGTCATTTCATTTATCCTTCAAAATTATATATACTTCTACAGCTTTATATTAACTGTATATTTACTCCAGGAAAATGTAATTAAAAATCTTTTTTGCACTGGAAAGAGCATTTCATTAGAATTTCAGTAAAATTGGATTTCAGTCTCCATTGTACCACTGACAAACTATTTGACTTTAACCAAACCAGTGAACGTCTCTGTAGTACCTCATTCACTCAGCTGTAAAGTCAGGCATTTGAGCTAGGTGATCTTTGTTACCTTTTAATCATACTGTATTTCATAGTCATAAAGTACTTTAAATGGAAGTTTTTATTTGAAAATAATGTTTCGTTGTGTCTTCTCATGTAAAATAATTCCTCAGTGTCTCTTGTTTATCTGTTTATATGTCAGAAATAGATTTTTTCAGGAAATGATCAGTCTTTTAAATATATCATGTTATTTTACAAACACTAGTAAAGGATTAATAATAAAATCTCAGTGGCCTGTATCAGTGCTAATGTGCCTACAAATCACATAGAGATCTTGTTAAGAAGAAAGGGGTTTAGGTATGGCGAGATTTTGCATTTCTGACAAGCTCTCAGGTGCTGCTGATACTGCTATCCTAGACGCATTGACAGATACTTGAGTTTGTAATTTGTGTTTAGAGTATTGCGAAACAGTTTTTTCCCTTTAGGTTTATATTTAGATGGTTTGACGTGTTTAGTCTGAGCATCTTTTTATTTATTTGTTTGTTTGATTGCTCTATGTTCTTTATTTTGGATAAAAGCTGTATTGTTTAACAATTGTGATCTGAGTAATATCCACTGATTTGAGGATAATAATTTCAGGGAAGATTTTTGTTTAAAGGTTCATAGTAGACACTTAAATTTTCTCTGCTCTATATAAAAAGTCTTTGAATTTTCACTTTTCATCTATTCTAGACCCATCATCATCAAGATGAGTTATGTGATGATATTCGGTGGTGTGTCTGTATCAGCTGTATAGTCAATTTGTGAGAGAGCTGGAGCTAGACCCGAAATTTCCAGATTCCCTATATTGTTTTTCCTGACCATATGTCAATTACTTCTCTTTTCTAGGAACCATTTATATCTAACAAAACCCTGTGGACTTTTCTCTAGATGTGTGGTTCTCAAATGTAGTCCCCAGACAGGCAGCATTAGGGATCACCTGGGGACTTGTTAGAAATGCCGGATCATGGAGCGCACCATAGACTGACGGAATTATCAACTCTGGTGGTGGGGCTGGATGCATGTTGACGTTTGCGAGCCCCTGTTGTAGATTGTAACCTTGAGGCCGCTCCCATCTTCATGGAATGCTGTCCTGATCCTCAGCATTTATTCACATGCTGTGCTTACTGCTTGATGCCATGATAGTGGGGGTTCCATGACATGTAAGATGTGGTCTCTGGCCTTAGAGAATTTGCAGTCTAGAAGCCAAGGAGGCATTCCTTGACTCTGGTAAAGATGTATTGACGGAGTCATTTTGCCTTTTCATTTCCTGCTCATTTATAATGGACAATCAAGCTAGATAGATGTGTTAAAAAGAGAAAAAATGTATAGGTTACTCCTGTTTAGAGGTAGTGGAGCCGAACTGAAGCTGCTTAGAGAGTAGCCAGTGTGTCACTTAAGTACTAATTACTACTTTCTAGGCAGTGTGTGCGTATGTCTGTACATATGTGTGCATATATGCACACACATTAATATATGTATATTTAGTGTATACATTTATATATGTGTGTGTGTTTCATGATTAGACGTGTGTGTCCTGTTCAATTCCTCAGATACAGGAAATTCCAAAGTCTGCCTGATAAAGAATGTCGTAGTTTAGTGGGGCTCATCATGCAGTTCTCACTAGTTAGCAAGTATTTTCTTAGCTCTTCATTAAAGAGTTCGTCTGTTTTTTATTCTGGTTCAGTGTATTTGACAGTAGGATCTGATTACCCTATTTGTGTCATTCCTTCATCAATTATGCTATCTTTAGTTTTAGGTCCTTTGGATTACTGATTTTAAAGTTCAGTGTACGTCGGAATAACCTAGAAAGCTTGTTAAAATGCACATTCTAGGACATGCCCCTTTTATGCTGATTCTGTGTAGGTTCTGTGTAGAACCTGGGAATCTATATTTTCATTAAGCATCCAAGGTGAGTCTGAGGCAGTGATTTAACCTGGCCTTGATTATGCCCTGATTACTTTTGAAAAAAAAGTTTTCTTTGCCTTCAGAAAGACAAATCCAAATGTACAAAATTGTAGGGCGACTGTAAATGTGTTTGCTTGGGTTTCAGTGGAGTGCGCACCCTAAGCAGTTTCTTAAGTTGTTCAGTACAGGAGCAGGGATGGAAGGTGAGGGAAATAATCAGTAAAAAAGCTCCCAAAGTCTTCTCCAGACCACCAGGGGTCTAGGAGACAAAGTAATATTTTGAGAGGACACAGAGAATAACATTTTCAAGATAATCCTTATGATCTGAACAAATAGCAAATGCCAACAAGGAGACATGGAGCATGCCCACAGTGAGTAGGATTTTGTGTGCAGTTCAAACCACTCTCACACTGTTAGGGAAACAGTATAGCGAGGTGAAGGGAAGCTCTGAGTGAATAACAGGATGCAAACAGGGGGTGTGTGAATTCCTGCGGAAAGAACAATATAAACGAGTAATCATACAATCTTGTTAGAAAGGAAACTCAAGTTTTACTGTAACAATAGATATTTTTCCAAGAAAATACATCTATTTATTGCAAGTTTAAATAATCCAATTTGGATGGATGTTCCTAAACTTTGGAGCCATGACTATATGCTATGACTGTCTGAAAAGCAACACTCAAGTGCAGTATTAATATTTACCCATTTCTAATTAATCAAAACATTCTAAAATATAACTTTGAAATACTTCAGCGAGACTTAGTAATTTTTCAGTTATGGTAAAGTTAGAAGCAGTTTCTTTGACACTATTAAATTGAAATTATAATAAATTTTGTAATTCAAGATTGTGCTTTATTCTAAACACAGCAGGTGCTAAATTCACAAAGAAAAAGAGGGAGAAAAAAGGTTTCTGTCCTCTGATAGCTCAAGGTCTGGTGTCTCAAACTGACAAATACAGTATGCACAATCCTTTAAAAATGTGCATATTAAATATTTATAATGGAACATTTAGGGGACATTTTCAAGAGAAGTAAAAAGATTAGAAGATTTGTTAGTTATTAATTTTGGTTTCAACTAAAGAAATAATCGAAGGAATCTAATTCTAGTGTTTAATCCTTGAAAACTGTTGAATTGTAGAATATTCTAGACAATAAAACTCAGAGAATTGTTTTTCATTTTGTACTCTGTTTATGCTACAGACGAAGTAATGATTATAAAAATTTTCATTTTCATAATCTTTTTTTTTGCTGAGGAAGATTTTCCCTGAGTTAACACCTATTGCCAACCTTCCTCTTTTTGCTTGAGGAAGATTCGCCCTGAACTAACATCTGTGCCAGTCTTCCTCTGTGTTTTTGTATGTGGGTCACCAACACAGCATAGCCACCAACAAGTGGTGTAGTTCTGTGCCCAGTATTCGAACCTGGGCCGCTGATGCAGAGCACACCAAACTTAACCACTAGGCCACAGGGCAGGCCCCCATAATCCTTTATTTTTTTCGCTGCACTTAAACATACCATATCTTATCTGTTTCTCTCACTAGAATGGAAACTCCTTGAGAATAGTGTGTTTAATGCTGTACCTTAAACACTTAGAATAAATAATGCCTGCCCCATAGTAGACATTCAGTAAATATTTACTAACTTAATTTCACTAACTTATATCTGAAAAACAATGTAAAATTCATGTTGAAATTCTAGATTATGTGTTTTGAAATATGTTACTAGGGTTTGGTTTAAGGTTTTAATATTTTGGTATTTCTTTCTGTTAATAGCCAGTTACAATTATTGGTTCTTTCAATTATTTTATTCTCTATCTGTAAATATACAGATGCAAGAAATATTTGTTTTGTGGAATTTTAGCATTAAGAAATTTTTCACATGGTCTCTAATTGGCTGACTCATTCAGTGAAACGTGTAGAAGTATTTAAGGATTCAAATGTCAAACCTGTATCATCCTTTTTGAACCAATTGCTATTGACAGTACCCTTTCTCGGTGCTTTCGGTATTGCCCTTTGTGTTCCTCAGCCATACTCTTTGCTCTTTCCCTTGGCTTTACATTTATTATCCTGTTCCTGGGCCACTGGTCGTCTTCTTCTTTGCGGGATGTTCCTTTTGTGCTTCTCAGCAGTCTGGCGATCTTGGTACATTTTTTTGTCAGTGTAGATGGGATGCACAAATAGGACTCTGGGTTAAAAAAAATCACTCCCTTTGTGAATTTGATAGATTAAAAATTTCAAAATAAGATGATACTTTATTTTACATTTCTGCATAATGAACACATTTAGACATATTTTGTGACTAATAACAATGTACTAGTAATAATAGATTATTGAAGATAGTAGAGACTGTTTAAGTGCAGTTTCCACCGTAACATTGCTCTTCTGTGTTACCTTCTCTTCCCGGCTTGCTTTTGTTTTGTGAAGACTTCTCTAATCTGTATCTTTGAAGTATTTCTGTAGAGTCT